TGCTGTGGCACTCCCCCGTGTCAACCCACGGACCCCATGAGCACCCACAGTCCTTGGGGAACAGGGCTGTGAGGAGGCCTGTCAGTGGGTCATGTCAGCATCGGGTCGCAAAATTCTAGATTCCCCTCGCCTGCTGCTCGTTTATTTCCTACCCCCCAAGAAAAGTGACTTGGTATCAGCAGGACCGTCTCCACTCGGAACATAAACAGCTTAGTCACCAGTCAGCTTGCCTTTAGTCAACAACGCTCCCCACTCGCTTCCGGCCAACTCCTTCCTCTTGGGAACATGGGTGACTCCAGAAATGGGCTTGAACGCGAGTCAGCAGCCAGCCTGTGCGCCAAGCAGCCTCCCAGGCATCGGAGCCCTGAACCCCAGGACCGGCCGCCGTCCTACCTCCAAAAGCGGGCCGCATGGTGAAGTCATGCTCCTCCACGCGGAGCAGGGGCTGCGCTTTGCCCTTGCGCGTTTGGGTTGCATCGGGATTCTTCCTGTACGTGTGACTGCAAAGATAAGCAGGAAAGGTTTTCCGTCGTGTCGGCCACAAAGGTGCTGCGGGAGTTGGTTTGGGGACCTTACACCTGTTAGGCCCCTTTCTCCATCCTGTCATCTCCTTTCTGGCCACAGGGAGCGTGAGGGCGGAAAGACACCCCTTCCCAAGTCCCTCACAGACACACCTGAGGACCAGGCCCTTCCATTGCCCTCTGCCTTGGACACATTCTTTTTATTATCATTATTAAAAGATCATTTTATTGGGGGCTATTACAGCTCTTGTAAAACTTCGTACGTACATCCATTGTATCAAACATGTTTGTACATAAGTTGCCATCATAATTTTCTAAACATTTACTTTCTATTGAGCCCTTGGTATCAGCTCCTCTTTTTCCCCTCCCTCCCCCACCCTACCCTCATAACCCCTTGATAAGCTATAAATTATTATTGTTATCATATCTTACACCGACCGCTATCTCCCTCCACCCATGTTTCTGTTGTTCATCCCCCTGGTGGTGGTGGTGGTGGTGGTGGTGGTGTGTGTGTGTGTGTGTGTGTGTGTGTTATGTGTCAATCATTGCAATTAGTTCCCCTTTTCTCCCCTCCTCTCCCTACCTTCCCCCTACCATCCTGGTATTGCTACTCCCATTCCTGTTCCTGGATTCCGTGTGTCATGATTGCTTATCTCTTATCTGTCCCTGTGCACATGCTCCAGTCTAGTCTGAAGTGGGAGGCAGCACTGGGGTCATGATAGTGGGGGGTGAGGAAGCCTCAAGGAACCAGAGGGATAGTGTGTGTTTCATCGGTGTTTTACTCAGCCCTGGTTGACTCATTTCATCTCTTCCTTGTGACCCTTCTGTGAGGGCATGTCCCATTGTCTACGGATGGGTTTTGGGTCTCTGCTCTGACCCCCCTCATACTCAACAATATGGTTTTGTTTGTTTGTTTGGAATGTGTCCGATGATTGGACACATTCTTAAATGTCTCCCCGAGAATTATGGTTGAGCGAAGACGGTTGAGTCACCTAGTGGATGATTGTATTTCCTTTGCAAAAATTCCTCATGGGTTCCTATGAAATGGATTGCGTGATAAATAAAATGCTGACGCCACTATGTTTAAAGTGTTCGAATGCTCTTCGGGAGGGTTGTCTTATTTTTTCCAGCCAGTCCTGATGCTCCTGACACACCAGCCAGGTGTCAGCTGTCGGCAGAAGCTGCCGTGGTAGTGAACCACAATCCACAAGAGGACCAGGACCTCTCCCCTCCAGGGCGCACCCAGGCCCCAGCGGGAGCAGACTTCCTCCAACCACTCTCCAAGGGTGGAGCTCTGGACCACAGATCAGGCCCAGCCCCTCTCCTGGGCATCAGGTGACCGAGGAGGAATGCGCTTTTCTCTTCACCACAACTGCATATAATCAATCCTGTAACGCAGAAAGCTGTTCAGTCCGAAATCTCCTACAGCCAGTTCCCACGTTAGGGTTAGGAGGACACAGGAAAAGAAAGATGGCAAGGAGGGAGAGAGGGTGGGCTCCTGCAGCCAAGTTAACCCATAACTTCGCCTGGCTCTTTTAGAAGGTTTGTGTAATTGTGTCTGGCATTTGAGTTGTTTCATATACGAGGGGATACCCCCCCCAAAAAAACGGATTCGCACGGGGCAGAGCAGAGCTTTTGTTGTATGTATTTTTCCCACTAGGCGAACATCAAGCAACTCACTCTGAGTTAGTGCACCCAGTGGTGTCACTTGGGAAGGTTCCCTCTGATCACAGTGAATTTTTTTGTAAAAACAGTTTTCATAAAAACCTCATTTTTTGTGATGGCCAATTCAAGAGAACAGAGTGTGTCTGTGAAATTTTGTTTCCTGCTCAGGAAAAATGCCACAGGAACTGTTGTGATGTTGAACACAGCTTCCAAGGACAGAGCTGTGGGAAAGACTCAAGTGTGTGGCTGGTTTTCTCATTTCAAAAAGGCGAAATGTCGATTGATGACAAACCTTGTTCTGGATGTCAGCAAACTTCCTGAATGGACGAAAATGTTGACTCATAGTGCATTTGGAGTTTGTTCCACCAGGGCAGACAGTTAATCAAGCTTTCTATTTAGAGGTTCTGAAAAGATTGCGTAACAGTGTGTGACCCCAAAAAGGGCCTGATTTGTGGCAGACCAGGGGACTGGTTTTGCCACCACGACAATGCACTGGCTCATGCGGCCATCTCAGTGCACCAGTTTGGGGCAAAACCCAGCATGCCTCTCTTGCCCCATGCACCTGACTCACCTGACCTTGCTCTGTGCAACTTCTTGTTTGTGTGGATGAAGAGGGACATGAAAGGACAGCGATTTGATGACTTAGAAGAGGTGAAGGAAAAAAGGAAGGAGGTGCTGTCAACCATCCAAAGAGATGAGTTTGAAAAACGTTTCCCAGAATGGAGTCGCAGATTTGACAAATGTATTAAGTGCCGTGGAGAGTACTTTGAAGATGATAAGGTTGTTTTGTAAAATAATTTTAAACGCATAGCTTTGAAAAAAAATCCATTTTGTTTTTTGGGGGGTGCCCCCTCATATGTATGTAATTCACCCTTCTAAAAGGGTTGGGTCTGAGTTTAAATTTTATGTCCACTGTACTCTAGGCCTGGCATATGGAGCATTCAAAAAAAGGATGGCCCTCAAAGAAGTGGATGGACACAGCGGCTGAACGATGGGCTCTAACAGCAGTCCTGAAAATGGTGAGGACCCAGCCGTGCTCCCTTCTGTTGCAGGGCAGGTATGAGAAGGTGCTGCAGTGACACAACAGGTGAAGGCAAGCTTGCACCAGATGCTGTCTCAAGGCCTTTCAGGGATTGCTGCCGGCAGAGCCGTAACAAAGAGCCTTTGTCACAAGAAGGTGGCACAGCAGCTGCCACGAAGTTAGCCAGCATTCTTTGAGCTCCTGCCCAGGGTGGGCTCTGTGCCAAGCACTTTGCAGCCATCACCTCCTTCGACCCTCACAGCATGTCCAGGAGGCCTGTGCGATACTTAAACCCCGCAGAACAGTGTGCCTGGCACATAGTGGGCCGACTGAAATGTGAGCTCTCACGAGAGCGACTCTTGACTCGGTGTCTCCTGAAACCAACAGCCAGACCCAAGGTGGTGGCGTCAGTTCCATCTCAGAGTGTCAGAGGAGAATTGACCTCCAGAGGGGTTGGGCTGGCTGGGTTTTCAGGAAGGGACAGAGAGACCCTTCTTTGAAGGCAAGTCTAGGTGGACTCAGATCATCAACCTTTTTCTCTTTTTTTTTTTTTTAGCAGCTGAATGTATTAATCATTTGTCCCAGGAGCTTCCCTCTAAAGCCCGCCCACACATAAACCCAAGATTGGAGGCAGTGGCGTTGGGAGGGCTTGTGAAGATTCTCGCCCTTATCCCCGCGTCAGGGGCAGGAAGGCTTGGGGAAGAGGGAAAGAAAAATGAAAGGACAGGAGGGACACTGCACATGACTTGTTCCTTCTAAAGGAGCCCTGGTGGTACAGTGGTTAAGCCCGTGGCTGCTAACCTAAAGGTGGGCAGTTCCAACCCACCTCCCACACTGTAGGACAAAGATACAGCTCTCCGTTTCCATCAAGATTGTTGTTGTTGTTGTTGTTGTTAGTTGCCGTTCCGGACCGAAACACCACCTGGCCCTATGTCCTCTTCATAATTGTCCTTATGGGTGTGCCCCTTGTTGCAACTGCTGTGTTAATCCATCGCATCAGGGGTCTTCTTCCTTTTGCGGACCCTCAACTTTATCCACCACGAAGTCCCTTCCAAGGGACTGGGCTCTCCTGATAACATGTGCAAAGCACATAAGGATGACAGCCTTGGGAAGCCTATGGTGAAGTTCTACTTCCCTGGTTACAAACAGAGGGTTTTCATTGACTTAAACGCTGCCCACAGTCCCCCTGGAGCACACCTCACCAGCAGCTCTATGCTAAACTTCAGCTGCGTCTTCCGAGTACCCCAGCCACTCTGCTCCGACAACGCAGAGCTGAGCCAGGTGCTACTTCCTGGAAGGATCCAGGTGTTTAGTGCTCTGCACCCCCATCCCGGCTGCCCTCTGCCCCACGTTCCCTACCACTAAACCAGCTGTTGCTGAGTGGACCTGACTCATGTTGACCCCATGTGTGTCACAGGGTCTTCAAGGGCTGGTTTCGGGGAGTGGGTTGCCAGGCCTTCTCAGGCACCTCTGGGTGTTCAAATCAGCCTTTCACTTAGCAGCCAAGTGGGTCAGCCATGTGCACCACCCAAAGACACTGGCTTTCCCTTGGTTGACTGATGATTTCTGGTATATTCTAAAGCAGAGAATTATAACCGCTTCCATCCCTCCCGGGTGTCAAAGGAAGTCTAGGAAACTGGCCAATCAGAAAAGACTTTCTGACAGGTCATCTGGACATCAAGTCTGATAGGGTATAAGATCTGATTCATGCCATTAGAAAAGTAGCACTAGAAGCAGTCTATGTTATTGCTGTTTCTGTTATCAACAGGCTATTGGAGGTTTTAAAAATAACCGAAGCGATCCTTATTTGGGGGTATAGTTGTTCACGTTTAGACCCTTCTCTTACTCCCAGGGCTCTGGTCACACCTCATTCATGTTTGAGAGAAGCGGACATTGTCCCTGTGCAGACGCTGCCAGGGGACAGGGAGAGCCTGTGCGCTGGGGGGTCTTGGGGTCCTTCTCAACTTCTGGTCTTGGCCAGCTCTGTCCAGATGCGTGATTTCATGGGAGCGCTGAAGTACACACCAACCCATAAGGTGACCAGTAGCACGTGCTTCAATGAATTACAATGAAATGAAATGAAAGGTCAGCTCCTTGGTTTCTACAGCTACTCTTATGCGTTCCATAGCCACTGTGGCACTGGTGGCCACCCTCTCGGACCATGTGCACAGACAATGCATCCATGGTGGCAGAAGGTTGTATTGTTGATGCTGGTCTGAAGATTGGCCTGTCCTCCTTCGCCACCAAAGAGCAGAATCTCTTCTGAGCCACGACTTTCCACAGTCTAGCACAG